GAAAGAGTACTGTAATATCTATGTCCTTTTTAAACAAGCCACTCTGGATAAACAACTTTGCGTGGAAACCCTCAATCATTCTCACCGTTTCAGAAAAACGTCTGTTGCGGAATCCATGTGACACACAACTCTGCCAGCTTGGCACGGTCACTCACCTAACTCCACGTCAATCTGCATCACATATTTTTTTAGGATCATTTCACAGTGCTACATTACAGTATTGCAATGAAACTGTGGTCATCAATAGGCTTTGGATATATATGCTCAAGTTTTCACACAACATAGCATTCTCATGCAGGTCCACTTATGTCACACGAAAGTATTAGAAGCGCTCATGTTTTCACCTAATGCTATCTCCTTTTTTTGCTAGCAGTTTGCGTCTGATCCAGCCTCGTCATCACCAGTCACAAACTCGTGCCCGCCGGTTGTGTACTACATGCCACACGCGCATTTTGCATGCCATGTAGTGTAGTATAGGAGGTCAACACACGCGAGCTTGCCGGCGGTGGCGCGCGTGCACACGTGGCATGCGCGCTTGATTGGAGAACGCCACCACCCATTTGGGGGTGCAGGATAATGCCTATGTGTTCGAAATTATGCCAGTAGAAGATGCCTATAATGCTAGCATTATTCCTAAATGCTTATGCATGCCTAAAATAATATGCCAGCATAATTTCCAAAGAAAAAAGAGAGCTGCACCACGTAGGATTCGAACTCACATCACTGCATTCTACATTATAAAGTCACACCCACCATTAGTAAATAATGCAGCACTGCATAGCTATAATAGTATTACACTTTTATTCACTATCAGACAAGGATATCAGTGTTCACTTAATCCTGCTCCAACTGAGGACTTTACAGTCGTGTTGGCGTGCTCTGGGTGAGGCTGCTGGACTGGAGAGGGAGACTATGGACATGGTGGGTGTGACTTTATGCAAACGTATAGAAAGGCAAGTGAGAGCAGACCAAGTTAACTCCACCAGATACTCTTCTGGAACTGACCTCCCATTTCCTCTGCTCCTGCTAATTAAGTCCATTAGATTTCGGTTCGGTTAATCATGTGACCTTAGAAAGGGTGTGTGTGATTCGAAGCAAGCTACGGCACTCACACTCTAGGTGAGCGCTCTACCACTGATGTATTGGTGCTGTTGGTGTGTACATTATAAGGTCACACAATGTCCATAGTCTCCTCTCCAGTCCAGCAGCCTCACCCAGAGCGCGCTAACACGACTGTATACAGTCCCTCACTTGGAACAGGATTAAGCGAACACTGATATCCTTGACTGATAGTGTATAAAATTACTTGCTATGTAAATGTCAACAGTAAATCTTGCAGTGTCTCTAATAAAAAAATTCACTTTCGAATTTTCAGACTTTGTTTGATTTTTTAATGAAAATACTCAAAACTTTAAATGTAAATTGAATAATTTTAGCTGATTTATGCTAAACGTTTGAACAACTTGTTTGTTAACCCTTTCAGTTGATGGGCACTTTCTACCAATAGTATAATATACCATTATCGCACAAATTTGTCAACTTGATTTTTTACATTTCATGAATTTGTCACTTCTGTAGTATGGATATATAGTACTACACAGTCGCACAAATTTGTGAACCCGACTTCAATGTTGCCTAATGTATATTATTATACCTTGTTTTCTGAATAGTTGATATTTTTAGATGAATTTGGGAAAAATTTAATAACTTTTACTTGAGACACTGTTTAATATAACACCTTTTGGTGCAATTACAGCGCAGTAGAAAATTCCTTTGTTACTTCATAAAAGACGAAGTTTTGAGTCACGGAAATTGTTATGGGTTACGAGCTAAGAACAATGAAAATGCTGACTAGCAGATTTCGTGACTCAAAACTTGGTCTTACATGAGGAACTGACCGAAAATTATGCCTATTACAATTGTGAGCATTAGGAACTGAGAGCCTAAACATTTAGAGAAAGAATCATAATGTCTTCATTCAAAGCGTTTGTTGCTTGTCACTGGTGGAAGAGAGTGTCTTTGAGTTGAGAAACAGATACCAGTTTAATAATGATTTTTATGGTTCAAACCAATAATGTGGTACACATGCTGGTTCTTAATGCAGAAGTTTTTTTGCAGCTCAGAAGATCTCATAAACACGTATTATACAAAGATAACAAATAATGAACAATTAATGCTGCAGTCTTATTGATCCTTGTATGACTTAAACTAATGACTAAAGTAAATGTATTTCGGTAGTAATCAAAAATCGATATCCTCAGCGGCTAAGGGAGGAGGAAGTGGAGGAGGTGGGGGAGTCCCTTCATCACAATCAGTCTCGGTCCTCTCTAGAGATATAGCCGAAGCTTCCTCGTTATAGGCACCTCCAAGTCTATGGCTATGGGAGGAAATGGCAGGGGCACCCTCATTATCTCTAATTAAAACCTGTGTGGAGGGACGGCTGGGGCTCCATTTCAATTACCAATGATCAAGGGCTGTGTCGGGGATGGCTGGAGCCCCTTCGTTATCACCCGATGTTGCTCTGCGTGGGGGCAGAACTGGGGCAGGAGTCTTGTCTGAGATTGGGAGCTCCACCTCTGGATCATCTTTGACTGGGAGAGCCCCTGCAATAAAGAAAAAAACATCTATATTAGTAGAAGAATGCTTGGAAAGTGAAGTGGTGAAGCGTCAAATGTTTCGCGTATGTTACAACATTATATAGGAAGGCCAAGTGCAACATTCATGCTGTTTCAGATTGTGCATAGGAACCTACAGGGTCTCTCTAGTGCAGTGTGCCAGTTTAGTGGAACTAGGAATCTTCAGCATGCTCTTGTCTAATTTTCTGTGCCCAGTATGGTTGTATGGTCTGTGCGGCTACTTTGTTGTAAAGCACGTACGCCATTCTCTTTACTGGTACACTGATGCTGCGTCCAGTCATGTCTGCGATGTGCTCGGATCTTGCCAAACACACCGTCAATGCCCTAACATCGAAAGTTTCGTTGGTGACTACGCAAAAACAGTCAATGTGAGTCTCATATGCCACAGTATCACTACGCGGAAACATTTGGTAGACTACTCTGGTGCAAATGCATGCTCAGGTGGGCCTAAAAAAGCACAAACAGTCTGGACATTTCTGTTCTGTACACAGACACTGGTAGACTATACAGCATATTAATATAGTGAAAGTCCCATCTTGAGTCCAGCAGGAAAGAGTATATGTAGCTTCTGGTGAGGTAATGTAAACAAGGCCACCCCGGGATAAACAACTTTGCGCGGGAACACAATCATTCTCACCATTTCGGAAAAAAAGTTGTTGTGGAAATGCATTTACAGTGCTACAATAAAACTCACCGGTGATGTAAGCAGTGCTAATGGCCTCGGATAGCTGGTTGAAACCAATCTGCTCACAGAAAGAGGACACATCTGACCACCTCACACACTCCTTTCTCTCATACCACCGAAACACCACCTCTGCCAGCTTGGCACTGTCATCACCCAACTCCCCGTCAATCTGCAAAACACTCTTAATAGATTTTTGCTATACCATGTTCACAATCAGCTGGCTACATTCCATCCACTGTAATGAATTTATCATCAACAAGGTAGAAAGGCAAGTGAAGCCAGACAAGTCAACTATACCCAGGATAGCTCTTTCTGGAACTGCCCTTGGTGTAATTCAAAGCTATGGCACTGCATTCTAGGTGAACGCTCTACCAACCGATGTAATGGTGCTCTGTTGGTGTGTATACATTATAAGGTCACACCCACCATGTCCATAGTCTCCCTCTCCAGTCCAGCAGCCTCACCCAGAGCACGCCAACACGACTGAGCAGTCCTCAGTTGGAGCAGGATTAAGTGAACACTGATATCATTGTCTGATAGTGAATAAAATTATAATATGGCTATTCAGTGCTGTTTTATTTACTAATGTAAAGCTGAGCAGTCAATGTCGATAATAACAGTGTTTCAATTAAAAATTCTGTTTCCACTATTCTGAATAATGAGCACTTTCATGGGATTTTGCATTTGAAAAGATTTATGCTAAACATTCGACAACTGGAGGACAAATTTAATATGTGAACCTTCAGTTGACAGGCACTTTTTACTACGATACTATCATATTATTTATGGCCCAAATTAGTCACCACCATTTTTCACATTTCACAAATTGGTCATCCCTGTAGTGTGTATATTATGGTGTATTACACAGTCCAAATTTTTTAACCCTTATTTCCAAAGTTGGCTATAAAACTTTGCTAAATTCTGTGTTGGCTAAAATGTACCTTGTTTTCTGAATAGTTGAGATTTTTTAGATGATTTTGGGGAAAATTTAACGTGGGACACTGTTTAATATAAAAGCTTTCTGTGCAATTATATGCCAGTACAATATTCTGCCTATATACTGTAATTGTGAGCATAGAGAAGGAATCATAATGTCTTCACTCAAACAGAAATTGTTTGTTGCTGACCAAGGGGGTGCAGATCAGTGGGCTCCATATTGTTCCCCTCCTGGTCCCCTTGACTCTGTGATCTTCCTTCGTTAGAGACGACCTCGCCTTGAACCGGTTCCTGTGGTGTTTGACAACGTTTGGAGTACTGGACAGTCTCCCCAGTCACTGGTGGTGGTGGGAGTGCTGAGCTGGTGGTGACGAGCTCAATCTCAGCATATGTTCCAATGAACTAGTGAGAGTATAAAAAGGTTTTATTTGATTATTCTATCACAAGCAAACCTTATTTTAGCTACAGTATAACTTTCCTCGAATTCATTTGCTTAGGTTCTGAGCCCCCCATGGGTTATTTATGGTTATATAATTATACTACGTTATTCTTGTGCTACACACATTTATGACATGAGCATAAAGATAGCAGGGAGAGAGAACGCATCCCTATGAAGGTCTTCGAAACTTCTCTCCTCTCACCGGCTAATCGTTTAGACAGAAGTGCTAATGAAGAAGAGTGTTGTATAGTGTAAAAGTGATTGGATATGTGTTTTGAGCACAGCAAACGGAAACAGATGTAAGGAAAGAGCACATGTGGGAGCTTGCTAACACACTCAGGGTTAATTTTCCTTATTTGGTTGTACTATGGAAACATGACAGCAGGACTGTGTGCCAACACAGAACAGTAAAGAGCAGCAACTTCAGTGAGGTAACGCAAATAAAGATCATCTTTCTTCTTTATATACCAAAGACATTTTGTTGCTTTAATATAGGCATGAATATATAACCCAGGTTAGACTTATGTAGGTAGCTGAAACTTATAAGCCATACTGAAACAATGCTAAAAACTCACATTATCCGAGGAGTTGCAGCGACCAGTGTTGATTACTGTGCTGTATTGACCTGTACAGTCTCGCTCTAAGTACTTTCTGGTGGCAGTAACCTAAATAATTGAAATAGACAGAAATTAAATAAACTCGGGTAAAAAATGTAAGCAGTTAAAAAGCATTAAGACTAAGGCTAGGTGTCACATTGCACCGTTGCCGTTGCTGTTTCGCCGTGTTGCGAGGATAGAATCCATGTCAATCTTCGCAGTACCATGCGACCTGGCACGGCGCAACGAGGCAATGTCATATTGTGAAATAGCCTAAGGATGAGATACACAGAAACAGCTCTATTGTAAAACTGGATGGGCTCTCTTCATTGCCCAATCTTGTGATACTACATTACAGAAAATGTTTTAACTGATTCAAGGGGGCCAAGTTTCAGGCCAAATGAGAAACCGTAGGTCTCATGCCCACATTTGTCCATATTGGTATATAAGTGATCTTACTGTGTGGCAGACAATATCAACAAAAGTCCAGAATGTTACTAGACCCTCCCCCCTTAGTGAGGGTCTAAAACATATTTCTGTGATAGTTGTTTTTCTAAACTGTATAAATAAGCATTATGTAGTAAACATTAGGCATAAACATCTTTGCTTTGATACGGAATGCAATCAAACATAAGAACCAGCAATGCAGTGTGTAAACTGCGGGTTTTAGCACTTAACTAAATCGCTACAACAGAAAAATTACTAGATCTCAGGGCTCAAGACTACACCTATACCGGGACATAAGAATATTCCACAGTTGCTGAAGTTCCATGATTGCTTTGGAGGTCAATCCTTCCACTGTCAACCATTCTTCAAAAAAGAACATATTATCTAAGCATGCCAGTGATTTGAGGTTCACCTTATATTTGTGGCAATGGAAACAACTGTTTTTGACCCTACAAAAAAGTAAACAAGATGAGAATCAATACACTAAAATTCATACAACAAAACTAACTTCGTTTGTAATATGCACAAGTCACTGTTACCAACAGCATGATGATCAGGACAGCAATTGCCACAGATGCTGCAGTAAGCCAAGCTGCCATAGGAACTGAAGAGCCATTGAGCCTAGGTGTCACACTAGACATGTCCTTCTCAAGCCCAGGTGTCACACTGGGCATGTCCAGCCCAGGTGTCATACTAGGCATGTCCTTCTTCATAAATTCTGTAAAACAAATTCAAAACAAGCAGCAAATCTTGTTAAACTCCACCTTGATGATACTGTATCTCAAGTGGTAAGGGATCACTGTATCCTGCACAGTTGTGGGCTGAGATGTTCACTGACAGTGTAGCATTGTACATGATGTCAAAACTGTAAGTGGGGCCTGGAGTTTCCAACTGTGTGCCGTTGTCCACTTCAATAATGTAGTGAACAATTGGAACTCCTCCTCCATCAAACATATCTCCCAGCTCTAGTACTGCTGTGAAATATATCTCCTTCTCTTGGTATGTAACAGAGGGTGCCTTGAAGCTGGGTATGTCTAAAAACAGTTAACTAACTTCACAATAGTGTCAGAGTGCCAAACCTGTTAAATACAATGTTGATGATGACTGAGGTTCCTGTGAGTCTCTTGTTACCACTTGACAGATGATGGTCGTCTTATTCAGTATCCCATAGGTGATAATCATCAGACTAGTAGTTATGTCTGCCACACTTCCATTCAACCTCGTGATATTGGTGAGGTTAGTTTTATCCTCACGATTCGTGTTTATAGCACCAGACATTCCTACAGGAGGATCTGCAACATACTGTATGGGGTCTGCCCGGGGAATGTAAGGTGGTACTTCCCACAGAATGACACTGATCTGACTGCCATGACAATAGTATGTCACTGTCTCATTTGGACAGGCATGGATAGACAGAGGATATAGAGTTGGTTGCCCCCATACTAAGGTTGTACAACACTTTTTTAGTAATGACAAAAGATTTAACATGCTCACCTCTCAGTATGATTCCACTAAAGATAAGTAAATGTATTATTGCACTTGACTGTCGTTGACTGGCGCAACAAGCTGGCAAAGCCTTGCGACTGACACTACCGGGAGCTGCCACAGTAGCTAATCGGAGAGCAGGTAGAGCAGCGTCAGCTGACGCTTGTAGATTGCTACGCAAGCGCACGTGGGACCGATCAAATCTCCTTTCTCAGTGGGCAACGTAATTCGCCCCCTTTCCGAATACCTATATACCTCCCCCAACCCCCCCACCTACAAGGGGCGTACGATAGGCAGGATTTTAGAAATGAGGGGGCCGGCAAAAGCGAAAATGCGCGGCGCGCGCGAAAATAATTATACGGAAGCCGCGCACGTAATTTAACCGGAAGCCGGAAGTAAAAAGTAGGCACATTTTAACGTGCGCATGCGTGCCTAAAGCAGTTTCGTTGCCGTACGTCACTCCAACTGTGTTTGCTGACTCTAGGGAGTAACCTAAGCTAGTCTCGCGTATATAAGCACACAGAGAAAAGCGTTTACCTGGAAAAAGGGGGGGAGGGGCAATTACCCCTATGACCCCCTGGCTACGCCCCCCACACCCACACCCACACCCACACACACACACACAAACACAAACTACACAACCTTCGCTGCGCAGGCGCAGCCAGCGGTGCTGGGGGTGAAAAGCGGCTCTCAAACAGCAATCAGCTTTCAGTTGTTTCTGCGGTGTAGCCTGGGTGGGTGTTATTCTCCTGTGTGGCGTCAAAAGTCCTTGGCGGCTCTAAGACAGGGGGAAAACTGCCTTCGAGGGTGACGGACGAGGTCTTCGATTGCGTGAAAGTCCCGCACCGTGATGGTACTCTTACTTATGCTCTGTACTGGAGTCTTGTTGACAGGTGACAATATTACACTTTGGTCATTACTAAAAAGTGTTGTACAACCTTAGTATGGGGACAACCAACTCTATATCCTCTGTCTATCCATGCCTGTCCAAATGAGACAGTGACATACTATTGTCATGGCAGCCAGATCAGTGTCATTGTGTGGGAAGTATCACCTTACATTCCCCGGGCAGACCCCATTCAGTATGCTGCAGATGTTCATGGAGGAATGTCTGGTGCTATAAACATGAATCGTGAGGATAAATTCTTTGCTACCCTCACCAATATCACGAGGTTGAATGGAAGTGTGGCAGACATGACTACTAGTCTGATGATTATCACCTATGGGATACAGAATAAAGACAACCATCATCTGTCTAGTGGTAACAAGAGACTCACAGGAACCTCAGTCATCATCATCAACATTGTATTTAACAGGTTTGCCACTCTGAAACATTTTATTGTGAAGTTAGTTAACTATTGTTTATAGACATACCCAGCTTCAAGGCACCCTCTATTACATACCAAGAGAAGGAGACATATTTCACAGCAGTACTAGAGCTGGGATATATGTTTGATGGAGGAGGAGTTCCAATTGTTCACTACATTATTGAAGTGGACAATGGCACACAGTTGGAAACTCCAGGCCCCACCTACAGTTTTGACATCACGTACAATACTACACTGTCAGTGAACATCTCAGCCCACAACTGTGCAGGATACAGTGATCCCTTACCACTTGAGATACAGTATCATCAAGGTGGAGTTTAACAAATTTGCTGCTTGTTTTGAATTTGTTTTACAGAATTTATGAAGAAGGACATGCCTATTATGACACCTGGGCTGGACATGCCCAGTGTGACACCTGGGCTGGAGAAGGACATGTCTAGTGTGACACCTAGGCTTAATGGTTGCTCTTCAGTGCCTTTGGTAGTTGGGCTTACTGCAGCAGCCACATCGATTACTTTCATACTGCTCATGTTAGTTTTCTGTGGTCTTACAACAGCGGCGATCTTTAAGATGAAAAAAACAACTCATCGTGTAAGTTATACACTGCTATATAATGTTTAATTTTGCAGTCAGTGTGATGGTGAAGGTCCATGTTCAAGGCTCAGCTGGTGATAGACTGGAGCCAGACTACAACATGGAGAACAACCCACTGTATGAGATGAGGATACTGTCAAATGAGGGACACTCACACATGACACAAACACCAGCTCCAGTCCCTGTGTATGAAACTGTTGACAGTGCAAAGCCTCTATAACCTGTTATAAGACTGTTTATAACGCAAAGACTCATAGCTAACCTGTTTCATACTATAGTTATTATTGAGTTTCAAAACAGTTTTATTTGTGGCATAGTATATCCAGTCAGAACTCTGCGCCGGGGCGGACTAAGCGTAAACTGTGAAAGCAGTTTACACTGGCCTCTTAGGCCGTGCACCTAGGCACCTCATGCTCGACCGTAGCATTGCAGAGCAACGTGGCTCCACGAGGCTAGCTCTACCATCAGTTGGAGTGCAAGGTTCAGCGGGATTGCCACCCCTACCTTGAACGCGCTTACACACAATTTTACATCTTTTTGATCTTGCTGTTGTTTGTGAAATACTTTCCGAGAAATGCCTACAGGAGTAGCTACGTATGTTGAGGATGAGGAGGCAGTTTGAAAGAACAGGAACACACAGAGTATACTTACTGTTTTTTTATTATAGCAACACATTATTATGAGTTAGCCCAACATTGTCACTTCTCTTTCACACCAACCATCAGAAACTTGTGTGATTATTTTGTTATTGACAACAATTATCGCAATCCAAGTATGTGGCACGAGGACCGGAATGGAATCGGGACTTGTCTCATAATGGGTCTCTGTCACTGGCAAGAACTGAAGCTAGAAAGTCACCCAATAAACTGCTTGCTGAATAACAGGATTCACAAGAGGAGGTGGCCAAAGATATGGTGTAGGTGTGGTTGTGTAATCCTAAAATATTAGCATGACGGTATTGATCACCCAATTATGAAGCACCTCATCACCACAAGAATTGTCTATACAAAGAATAAAACAAAAACAGTGCAAAGCTCTCTATAACCTGTTTCGTCTCATGTCAGTAGCATGTGTACACAACGTGTCTATTGAAAACCTCTAGTCAACACTTGTGCCAGCAGGCGTGCAAGATAAACAGATAGCGGGCGGCGACACTGCATCCTATGTTGCTTGTATATACAGATGTTTGCGAAAACAAATTATGTGCTACAGAACTCATCCGTGTCATTTAGGAAGAAGCATTACAGTCACCCGCGTCATGAAAAATACGCAATGTCATCACGACGAGTACACTCAATGCAGACACACAAAAATTCGAGGTCCAGTTCCTTTGTATACAACTGTTGGACGTGTTAGCAAGTCCTTCTTGTCTTTTTCTTTTGCAAACACTGCTGCAGTTTGCAAGAAAACCCTGAACAGCAGAGTGGTGGAGCTGAAGAAACGTGTCAACCAAAGGCAGTGCAGATTAGATTACTCTAAAGGGAGAGTAGCAACCAAACTCTGTTCATCATACGACTCTAAAGGTAGTTGAATGGGGTGTTTTTGCATGATGTGCTATGCCAAGATGCCTAGCACTTATGGCATAATTTACGCTACTCTAGTCTACACTGAGGGCATCATTAGTAGAACACACAGCAACAGCGAGTAGTGGACAAGGAGTATATGTGGCCCTAATTTTAGATTATGTATAATTTCGAATAGGCTGACAATTCAGAGAGGCGGACAACTTTATGTGGCACATTTTTACAACACTAATAATTGAGGGGCAAACTCACACTACACAGCGACACGTGAAGGCACGTGAGTATACAAGGGTACTTATGTGGCATCATAACCTCTTGTGTTTACTTTAGTTTGAGTGTAACCTATCTCAGCTCATACTTGTTTAAGGCACATGCGTGATTCACTTCGTTTCTCACTAACAATGAACA